AAAGGTTGGTATTCATCAATGTTGTACACAAAATATTCCATAGTTGCTATTAGAGTTATAGATTTATATCTTTAATTGGATCATGAATCGAAGGTTTAGTACTTCAAATTGCCCAACAGCTGAAATTGCTTGGACTAATAGAGAATTGTGCAAACAGTTGGCTGAGGATGATGAGATCATATCTAAATATGAAACTAGAATTAAATCATTAGTGCGAGATCTTGAGCATAGCAACTTAGAAATTCATTATTTGGGTAAATCCCTAATACAACATGAAGCACAAATTGAATCTTTGAAAAAGGATAATAAAAATCTATCAATTCAACTCCGGAAGGCTTTACAGGATATAGAGTCTAAAGAAAAATTTATCATTTTTAGAGAAGAACAATTTATAGCATTAGAAGATAAAATTTCAACACTTAATAAGAAGCCAAAAATGACTTCTCAACGCCAAATACAGCCACCTAATCCAAATGAAATTGACATAAGTACTGATAGTATTAATTCTGCATGTAGAAGTCTTGATGAGTTCATACAAAGGCCAAATAATTCTACTCTAAATCAGAGGACTGCAGTAAATAAGCTTAATGAAATTACTACATTTACACATAGGCTCCAAGATATTGCTAAATGGAATAATGATCAATTAGCACCACTTCAGGCCCAATTACAGCAAAATCTTCAGGCATTCAATCAGTTGAATAATCAGCTTACACAGGCCCAGAAAGATCTTGATCGACTTCATCAGGATTATCTTCATCTTAATGTCACTCATACTCAGCTTAATAATACTCATACTCAATTTATTAAAGCTCAGACCTATTTTATTAATAATATTCATGATCCGCTTGTTCAGGCTAATAATCTGCTTACCCAGGCCTATAACTTTGAGCATGGGCAATTACAAATGTTCCAACAAAAACATGTAAAATGGAAACAAAGAGCCAGAAATCCTGATGTTATTTGGCTTGTAGGATTTTCAAATTGAAGCCTTGATATCTTTATTAAAAAGCATGGCTGGAATTACAGTTGCACCGCCAATTTTCTCAGGAGGTATTGATGAAAACATTAATACTTTTATCAGGCAATTTCAAGGATTTTTAGCTGGAGTTGGTATTAATCCAGTGGGAGCTCAAAAAGAAAGAGCTATTGGTATGCTCCGAAGTTGTTTACAAGGACCTGCTGGTGAGTGGTATGATGAAATTATTCTCGGAAAAAGATGGAAGTTAGTTCATGTACTTGACAATCATGGTTTGGCAACAACTGGTAATGCTGGTGGTGCTGGATTAGGGAATATTCGAGTTAGAACTATGGCTCAGATGAATGGCACTAACAGTTTTAGACCACATTCTTTGGCATCTACTTTTGCAAATATTGGTGGAAATAATGCAGTTACAGTAGGTGATGTAGTTGCTAGAATGATTCCTCTTGAAGGTTTTGAAGAAGATTGGACCAATTCTGGTGGAGAACCTACAGATGATCCTGTTAATGTATTTGTAGGTAATAATAATCCTATAGTACTTGCAGATATTCGAATTGGCCAAGTTATTTTCTATCTTTAGAATCATTATCCTACAATTCTGGAAGAGAGGTGCAAAATACATTTTGGTAATCTTGAACAAGGTGATGAGCCAGTTAAAGAATTTTATCGTAAATTAAAACATTATGGCGATTTACTACATTTTGGCAATGAAATAATTGAGCATCATTTCTTTATGGGATTATCACCAGATAACCAGCTTGAAGTAGAAAGAATTGGTTCTGATAAATCTATAGAAGAATTGGTTAAATCTTTAGAACAAGTTGAAAAACGCAAATCTGAAATGAAATTGGGTTTAACAAAGAGAACAAAAGCTAATGCATCTTATGGCCAACCTAATTTATCTGAAGAAATAAAGCCTCAAGCTTCTGGTTCATCATATAAACCAGGTTCAGGGTTTTTGCCAGAAGATGTGGATAGAATGATCAAAAGTGCTACTGAAAAAATTACGCAAAATTTTCAGATACAGATTCAGGAATTACAAGCAAAAATTCCAACAGTGCCATATCAAAAAAATAATGATTTGCAAATAGCCCGAGAATCAGCATAGTGGACACTGTTGCAGATCACAAAAAAATGATCAACATAACATATGTTATGGTGAAAGTTCTTGCAA